CCAGGTGAATAGAACACTTGACGGACCCATGATCTTGTCCGCTTCCATGTCTGATGATTGTAGCGGATATCTGTCCATCAAGTCGACCGCCATCTTGAGCAATGTCGAGATCGGCAACCCCTTCTTCTGGCGCCTGGTTCCTGGGTCACTTGCACCACCTGCTGCTGTTGAGGCGGCAAGCGCTCGATCAGATGCTAGGCTCGGAAGCTCAACGTCTGGGTCGACGTATATTGCTTCTTTGCTTGATTCTCGTGAGAGTGCACGTTCCTGCTTATCTTTCACCTCAGGCCCCCCTTTCGCTTCTGCCTGCTCGTCTTCCCCACTGTCAGCCACGATATGCGGCAACCGCCCCAAAATAGTATGCAGCATCGCCGGATCCTCCAACTCGTCCGGGTCCATCGTCATCACCTCTTCTTTCCTCTGGAGAAGTACCGCTGCACACAGATAGATCGCAGCACTTGGTCCAAACGCCAACACGAACGCCAACACTTTCTGCATTACCACAACTTCTCCCGCATCATGTGTTAAGAGCGTCAATAGCCACGGCAGCGCAAAGAAGGGTAGCGGTGACGCCCTGTCCACTAGTTCTGCAAGTGCCGGATCGCAGAGCCGGATTAGATTTCCGAGAAGCTTGAGCTGACCCATGATGGGGAGTAGGTCGCGCGTCAGGCTGTCTCTAATGACGTGGAGACTGATTCGCTCAGTAACGAGCAGAAGGAGTGCTTGCTGAGTCGCATCCGCGAAGAGCATAGAGGGATCTTGCTCTGTTTCTGTGGGCAGTGGCGATGGAGGCTGAGGTGCTAAGGTGAGTAGCACAACACTAAGAATGTCGTGGTAGCCTTGGAAGTAGCGCAAGGCTGGATGTCTGTTGAGCGTCATAAGGACGAGATGGGAGAGCTGCTTGCGGCGGAAAAGCTTTTGACTCGACATTGATGCGGTCTGTTCATTATTGTCCACGGCTGCTTGGGATGTGAAGAGGCCCTTGAATGCAGGACCGATGAAGCTGCGTTCGACATCCTTAGCTACCTGCTCGATGTCTCTGGGGGACAATTCCGGATACCGCTCTTGGTCGGTGACAGCCGCGACCTTGGTATGGTGAGGGTCTTCTTGCAGTGCAAGAGCTCCTTGCTTGATCGGGGCGGCGTTCGCATCTGGATGGGGTGACATTGACGGCGTCGACCTGGACGTCGAAGAGGTAGCGCCCGATGTAACTAAGTCGCCAAGAGAGGAAGAATCAGGTGGCGAGGTAGTCGACTCTGTAACTGCACCTTTCCTCCTCTTCGTCTTCTTGGACTTGACCACTTTCCATCCAACATCTCCGGTGGATATGCTGTTCCTGCTTGCATCATCTTTGACGCCGTCGACCTCGAGAATGTCGCTGGCCACTTGCCAGCGGTCCTTGTCGAGAGGGATAGGAGAGGGAAGCGATTCCTTGAGGATTTTGGGGACATCCGAAGACTCGGCTGGACCTGCGCGGGTAGGTTTCTCTGAAAGAAGCTCGGCCTTGTGGGAGACTTGATCTTGGGTTATATCGAGCAAGAAGAGCCATGCTGCCACCAGAGACTCGAGCGATGTTGACTTAGTCAGGGGTCTGACTGGCTGGAGACACTGTTGCTGGAGAAGGCGACGTCGACGCTTAGCTCGCTGCTGGCGACCATTGCGTGCTCTCAAGCTCTCAGCAGAGTCGGTGCTTCCGCTCGCCTCTTTTCGGCGCTGTTCCGCTGAGGAGGCAGTCGCGCTCTCAGCTGAGCCCGTTCGCTGCAACATAGTGATGATGTGACGAAAGGAAAGGCAAGGAATGCCTCGAAGCGTGGGCTGTGTGCCGATCTGACGGGCGTCTCTGCAGTCGGAGCAGCCTTCAGATCAGTAGTGTGCTCTGGTACATTCGTACAGGTCCTCAGGTGATTATATCGTGACGAGTTGCATTGAGTGTCGCAAGGTCTGAATTGCGTGTTGGAGCAACCCAGAGTCACGTCCGTGCACCCCGACAGAGCTCAGGGTCCAGCTCAAGGCGTTCCGAGTTCCGACAAAAGTCTTCACCTCTGGGAGGAACGTATGAAGGCAGACACGGATTGCAACTACAGCATCACCAAGTCTCTCGCAGCGGAACGAGATGCTCTGAGAAACTCGATAGTAGCACTCTTGGAGCATGCTACATGATATCCACTCCTTCGGCTCAACTGTTTTGTGTGTGTGTGTGTCACTTGTCCCTCTTCGACTTTGGATGCACCGAACTGCAGAACTGTCTTACGGCATGAAAATCCTCTCTCTCTCTCTCTCTTTCTCTTTCTCCTTTTGGTGCGGTCCGGAGTTGCCAAAAGATGTAAATGAAACACAGGCAGGAAAGGGGCATCCTCCCACAACGAACGCAGAAAAGAGCGCGGCGCGAATTCGGCTCATTTAGAGCACAATTACCAATTTTTTGACCGGGCATTGGCCAAGGCTGCTTGCTTGCTCCTCTTACCCGAGGCTACTCAAGTCACCTGTTCACGTTCCCGTCTTGGACACGAGGCGAAACGATGCTTTCCATTCATCCCTTGACCATCACCGTCATCCCTCCTTCCTTTCCGTCAACACCAACCCTATCTCGTTCAGTCCGTTCAAAGGCAGCCAATTCCTCTAGCCTCGTCCTCTCGTTCGCGTCTCTCGTTTATGGCTTCTCGGTATCGCTCCACATCTGCAAGTTCAGCGGCTATTGGCTCTACACGATCTCATATCGTATCATCGTAACGCACTGACGCGGCACTAGCCTCGTCATACAGCTTGGCTCTCAAGCTTCGAAACTATCGCTCAAACAGCATACCTACCCACTCGCTCACAATGTCGGCCCCAGGAAGCTCCACCCTCCGCAAGAAGAGAAAGATTGCCGTTCTCGGCTCTCGATCCGTCGGCAAATCATCCTTGATCGTCCGCTATGTCGAAGACGCCTTCGTCGACTCCTACTACCCTACCATCGAGAACATCTTCCAAAAGACCATCACTCACAAGGGTCAAGAATATGACTGCGATATCATCGACACTGCTGGTCAGGACGAATACTCGATCCTCAACTCCAAACACGCCATTGGCATCCACGGCTACATGCTCGTCTACAGCATCGCATCCCGTAACAGCTTCGACATGGTCCAGACCGTACACGACAAGATCCTCAATTACACAGGCACCGAGTCGGTCCCTTGCCTCATTGTTGGCCAGAAGAGCGATTTGCATGTCCAAAGACAGGTCTCAGAGGAAGAGGGCAAGCAGTTGGCACAACAGCTCAAGGCGGCGTGGATCGAGGTCAGCGCAAGGCACAACGCAAACGTCTCAAAGGCATTCGAGGCAATGTTGGGCGAGACGGATAAGGGTACACAGGAGGGCGGGCCAGAGCCACAACCGAGCAAGTGTCTGGTCATGTAGACGATTCCATCCATTCGCTGCTTTGTCTCCCCCTTCTCCGTTTGGACCCATCGCAGCCGTACATAGTTCTTCACTTTGCTGCTCCACTCTTTTCGATTTCGGGATCTGTTCTGTTTCCACTTTTCTACTACTTTGCCTAATTCCATGCTCATGCACACAGACACACTTTGGACTACCTTGCGGGAAAGGGGTATGGAGATTTCAAAGTCGCTAGAATGGGCGTGACTGTGTGATACATCGGCTGCTGAATTGAAGCCGACTAAGCTTACGGAACGCCGGCGCCCAAGAAGCCGTTCTTTCCAACACCAGTGACGAGCAAATGATCACCTCTAGATCGCGCTGCCTTTTCCCAGTATTCCAGTGCTTGAGTTGAGACCTGTCTCTCTTCGTTCTCAATCACCGATGTCTCTGCGCCACGCTCCGAGCCATCCAGAGTTTCTATCGGTTCTGATAGATGTGAGGAGAGCTTGATAAAGGCCTCGTCCCAACACGAGCCCTGGACGCGGTCGTTAAAGTGTTCAAGCTGAGGTCGCCGAATTCTTCCTTTGCCGTGCGGAGTCGGCTGCGACTCGATCGATGCGCCAGACGACGAGGCAGCAGTGGTCGCAAGCTCAGGTGGGTCTTTCAGCGGTTCGGTTGCGGCAGGCTTCAGTTCTCCGTCCCGACGTCGCTTCTTGGTACTATGAGAAGGTTCCATGGACCTATCCAATCTGCGTGATGAAAGCCGTATCGATGGCTTGTCTGACCTTGCGTGTTGTCTTTGCCTTCTCGATAGCTTCGGCTTCGATGGCTCCTGTGCTGACTGCACTGACAAAGAACCCCCTTCTTCGCCATCATCTTTTGCCGTACTTTTAACAAGCAGATGTCGCTTGATCGACCCCGTTCTTCGTCTCTGTCTCTGCGACACTTTCTGCTTCCCCTTTGCTGCCTCCGATGTTCCCTCTTCCTGCTCCTTCTGCTCATCCCTTGCCCCCTTTCCAACTCCAATTTCAGGCACAAGGTCAGGAGCAGGTAGTCTTACCACCGCCCCACAGACCCCACACCTTTTCTTCGACACATGGTCGTGTGGTCCACTGGCTTTATTCCTAATACTCATCGTAAGACCTTCGATCATTACCGCCTCGCATCTTCCACAGGCACGTCTTTTCACCGATGTATCTAGTCTGATCACCGCTTTTCGTGACAGTGTCTTTGCTGATCTTGTGATCTCGCTTTGCAGATGCAGTGCGGAAGTTGAAGCATATGAGGACGAAGAGAAGTCGAAGGTGGAGGACAAGACTGCATAGTAAGCTGCGACCTGGTTAAGGTGGTTGAGCGTGTGGTGGTGTTCGGGGTGGGTGATGGCTTTTGGTGCTGTCCAGGTCGGACCTGCTTTGGCTGGAGGAGCAGGTTTGACTACTGATTTGCCTTTCGGCCGTTGTGCGCCTTTAGAAGGCATCCCGTACAGATCGCCCCAGATCCAACAAGGAGGTGGAAGTGACGATGGCTGTCATGGAGATAAAATTGGAAGATGCGAAAGTCCAAAATCGGCCAATTCATGGCGTCAATTCAGGGTCCAAGAGAGTTTAATATTAAAAATAAAATAAATATAAATATAAACTTGCATTGACGGGGACTCGAACCCCGGTCGAGTCGAATCAAGTGGAATTAAACACACCTGAACACAGATGTATGAGACTGGCAACGACTCATGATACCCCTACACTATCAATGCTTTTATAACAGAACTCAGAGCATTGCTACTATATACAGAAGCAAGGTTCCGGATAAACTGACCCCTGGAAACCATGGGCTGTACTTCGGGGAAAGAGGTCCGCACTTTTTGTCGTCATACGAAGCAAGTTGAGGTCATGCGTACGGAGAGGGGCCAGAGACGGCATCGAGTTATGAAGCATAAAATCCGACCGTCGTTGGAAATTTTAGAGAGAACATGCATCGGCCGCGCTGCATGGAATGTCCGAGCGCCAAGCAACGGTAAAGCTGAGCTTCAGCACCACTCGACTGCTACTGGAAGACGTTGCTCCTGTAAGATATTGCCCTGCGGAGCAAGTGCTATCATTGCTAGTCGAGTAGCTTAGCAGCACTCTTCGCGAAGCTAAGAGGAGAAAGACGAGCTCGATACATGGGCCACCGACAACCGGCCAATTCGTGCCGTGACGGGAGGCTTCGGCCATGGCCACCCGACCTTCGCACGCCAACGTTACACACATTACAAAGGACCCTGAACACAGCACAGCAAACCAAGCTGTCAGCAACGCTTCTCAGGAACGGCACAAGAAAATGCAGCAAACCCCGGGACTCTCGACGTCGAACAAAAACGTCCTTCCCCCCCCCCCCCCCCCCTAAAACAGAGTTCATGCCAAGGTTCTGCCACGTCGGTACCTCTAAACAGTAGCGACTGTTGATCGTCCCGCCTCGCACATTGATCGCCTTGGCACAGCTCTGTCTGACTTTGTAGACGCCGCCACCCGTATGCCAGTGCACATGGTGAGGACTGTGTGTGTAACTCAGGAGCTTAATTTTCCAAAGGCACCGCCACAACCTTGTGAATGAGCTCGACGGCCGACCCTGACCGAATCGACACAGCGTCTCTTCGCCCGACAAGAAGCCAGCGATCGTATCTCGTCTTTCTTGAAGCGTCGATACCGAAGCTAGGCCAGCTCGAAGTGTGTGCTCAAGGATCCTGGCTCAATTTAGTGGATGAAGCGGTGTACTGCACACAAGAATTGGAATAGGCCAAGTGACAGCGCAACGCAGCATTAAATTTAAGCTGCGTTACTCGCTTGTCCCAAGCGCTCCCGCGCCCATCCAATCTGGTTTAGCGCAGAACGCTTTCACCAACGACCAAACTCGGAGTCGGCTTACCATTTCATTTCCTTCACTTGTCTTGAATTGACTCCACGATCGCCTTCACTCCCTTCCACTCACGACACACACCTACCCTCGTTGAATCCCCTCACTCCCCTCGCTCCCCTCGCTCCCTTCTCGACAACCACACCGCAACCACGATTGCCTCCACTTTCTGTTCAACTCGCTCGCTTCTCTCTGCGTGACCCTGTACTACCTAATCTTGCCCTGGCTTCGTCTCGATCATTCAGGCATCCACTGAACATTCTTCTGCAACACCCAGGAGTACTCATCGATACACACGCAAGCCGATGACACAGATACTATTGGGACAAGATCTCGAATTGACGCACTGTGTTCAGTAACTAGTCACAATTCCGCATTCAACCAAGTCCCTCATCGGTCAGAAAAATCTCAGCAACCATGACAAGGTCAGCTCAACTCGAGCCTATCGTCATGGATCAGGCCGCTCTCGGCACGAATCAAGCTGCTACATCGCCATCCGCAGCATCTCGACATGTTGTTAGCGCACACTCGCCGAGCGCTGCAATGGATGCAGTCACCGCTGCTGCTACAGCAGGTGCCTTGCCGGCTGCCAATGGACTCCCCGATGATCCGGCGGATGCGTCGGCCATCTCGAGCCTTTTCCCTCATCCACCAGCTCCTGAACCAGCTGCAGCATCCTTAGCATCTGGCTCTGTGCCTGTTTCGCCTCATCAGACCTCACCACCACGAACGCCTGCTGCTGCCGCGAGCCTCCGTTCAGCTGTGTCACCCTCTTCGCTGCTCGCATCGCCGGCATCTGAGCGCGGTAATCCCATGTCTCAAGGAGTCCACCCATCACATCTGGTACACAGCCTCCACCAGCAGCACCAGCAGCACCAACAGCACCAGCTCGCTGGCTCTTCTGACGCTATTCCCAGCGGCAGTGGCTTCCGTTCGCCTGTTCGGACTCGACAGCATGGTGCTGCCTCTCCCCTCGCTCTTGCTGGCACTTCTCCGCCTAGCGCATGGCACCAGCATCACTCTGAACTCCATGCTCCCAACACTCCTCATACACCCCATACACCTCAAACCCCCAGCATCTTTGAACGTGACATCGAGCACCGCGATGCCAGCCACATCATGACCAAGCAGGAGGCAATGGATGTTGCTATTCCAAGTGTACTCGATGATGCAGTCGAGGCCATCATTGAGAACGACGCCGAGATCGAAGTGGTCGCTCCTCAAAATCCAGCCCCGCCTCTGCCACTCACATCTGCTGCTCTCTCTGTTCACAGCGGTGCCAGCTCGCCCTCGCCTGGTCTTGCCTCTTCGCCTTCGCCTCCTCTGTCTGCTTCCGGCGGTCTCGAAGCACCTCCTGGCTCCATGGCTGCTCAGATTGCTGAGAAGCTCGGATCGCGTGGCAACGACGATGCCGCCAACCCTTCACGACGCTCGACCGGCGGTCCACGTCATCCCGGCTCTGATGTCGACAGTGCAGGTGCCTCGATGCGTTCACGCTCACCTCAGGCAAGCAGAATGCAAGACCTTGCCGACGGCGGGAGCCCTGTCCGTTCGCGAGCTTCTGCTTCCCCAGCTCCGGGCATGCCACCTGTCTCCCTCGTAGCAGCCGTCTCTCAGGCTCAAGCTACCTCGCCCATATCAGGGGCATCGTTCAGCGCTCACTCTCCCATGCCGACAGCCACTGCCTTCCCATCGCTGCCTCTACCCAACCCTTATCGATCCAGCTCACCCAATCTCTCCGCCATGGCTCTCCCATCCCTTGCTGCAGCTGATGCCGGACGCCCCGCCACATCGAGCGTCAGCATCGACGGCGCCATTATCTCTGGAACGGAGGTCGCCACTCTGGACCACAGCCTCGATACCATCGCAGACGCGCTTGCTGCTCACGACGCTGAACAAGCAGCAAGCCCTTACGTTCCGCGATCCCCTGCCCCACCTTCAGTCTCGGGCGCGAGCAGCCCTTTTGTCGACCGGAGTCGCAGTGCTGCCGGCTCTGCTATTCGACAGCCTCAACAACATCCCGGCGTGGGAGCTATTGCTACAGGAACGAACAGAGCTGCACCTCCCGGTACTCTCAGACTGCCTACCAGCACTAGCGGTCTTGGTGTCTTCAACACTGGAGAATCGCTCTTTCAAGCACTAGCTTCGGGTTCGCCATCTCCATCAGCTGATAAGCGCCGTCTCTCCTTCTTCTCCTATGCCGACATCCTCAACGAGAACAAGGGCGAGGTCATGGATCTCCAAGGAGTTGTACGCCACGCCGCGGAGAGAGACGAGCAGCAGCATGGGATTTTCCACCCTCAGGCTCACGCTCAACAAGAATACGAGGCTTTCTCATTGCAGCCGTCCATCATGCAGCAACTGGGAGGAGCAGGCATGTCAAGGTCGGTCAGTACGAGCGCTGCTGCTAGCCCTCAACTGGGTGCTGCTGGGGTCAGGTCTACAAGCGGCAGTCAGGCCGCCAATTTCAACGCCGGCAGCGGAGCGTACACCCCAGCACGAGGCCGTCGAGACAACGACCTCGAGAACAGGGCTCTGTCCAATCGACTCGACAGCCTCCATCTTGCAACGTCAGCTGCGGCAGAGACCAAGTTGCGAAAAGCCTAGACGATTCAGAAAACGCATACACCATCTTCGGGGCCTTGGCCATCGAGTCGGTGGTCGAGGTCTCGTATGGACACTCTCTCTTCTCCCCGTTTCCTCGTAGCTTTTGTCATTGGTCTCTTTCTCACGGGTTTTCGAATTGTTTTTCATTACATCTGTTCTTCTTGGTTTGTCGTGAGGTCTGTGTTTGAGCAAAGGAAACGATGTCCGTCGAGCAACGGGATCGAGACGTTCGGGTTTGGATCCCTCGAATCGTCTTTCCTGACGTGCGGCCATGAAGTCGCGGAGTCATTGCGGAAAACTACTTGGCTTCAAAAGGCCTGGATGTTGAGCAAGACCTCCGCTGACGGAACGGAGCTGGCCACTCCCGTTCTCAACTACCTTATCCTCGGCTGAGCTTTGAACTGCGAGGCAAGCATCCAAGGTCATCGTCCGCTCAGTGTACCTTCAGTACATTGTCGGCTTGCACCACACTGAACACTTGTGCTCACGACCATCTTAAGCTCCATCCTTTCTGCATGCTGCTGGATTAATGAACACCGTGCATGTCTCGAAAGCCCAAACCATCTCGTTTTGCTGAGAACGATCTAATCTTAAACCTGCAAAACTCTAGCCTTCGCTTAGCCCCTGGACAATAGTAAGCGAAGCAACTCCGAACAAGCGAACCCTCTCGACCCGTCTTTTTCTCCGTATTACCCCTCTTTGCTCATCGAGGCTTGGACGGAGAGGGCTTGGACTACCTCTTGATCTGCTTAGCATTAATTACCTTGTGAGCTTAAGTCTGTGTCCGTGTCACATGACGATACGAAAGCTGCGAGAATGGCTATGAAGGATGTCGTGGAGGGAAGCATCGACACAGCAGAGTTCAAAAATCCGTTCGTTGTCGCGATCTGCATGGTGACACCCTCCATTCTGAAGTCTGGAATGAAGGTTCGCCGGCCGGCGGGCCGATGTTCCTTGTTCTTGTTTGCTCGGCGTCTTCTTGTACCTTGGGCATGGATCGCTTAGCACAAACCTAGCCCTAGAACGAGGTTGTCCATTTATGGATTGGGAAGGTCCCCTTCCGACCTCGTTCCGATCTGAACTTGCTTTCCGAAACTGCCGTCCGCTCCTTGCCTCATGGTAGAGCATAGGCACTCTCTGGCAAGAGTGAGGTCCGCTGATCCATATATATGTGAGATAGTCACTTTGTTTCCCTCCTCATCGTCGTAATTGTCAACCATTCTACATCGTCGCAGCGTCCTAGCAGCCATGCGA